CATTCGATTAGTCCTTAGTTTTCAATAATAAATAAAGCTGGATTTTTATCACGAAGTAAATGCGATAATAAGGTAAGAATAATTAATGAATTTTTAGTTAATATAAATAGGTAATTTTTGAATTTCAAACATCAGTCACGCGACGGATTTGACATACTCTAGATCCGCCCCTGTGTACATGATTATCAGTTACAGTAAAATAATTTATGCTGTAGCTAAATGAGCAAAAGTCATTACTTATTCAATCAAGACAACAAAAAATATTGTTTTTTACCCTGAAATCAATTTTTTAAGAACAATAAAAATTGCCGTGACAAAATTGTATTCCCGTAAATAGTTAATGTTAACGGAGACCTGTTTTAGAAATCGTTTGATAAGTGAAGCTGGGTAATCGGCGTTATTATTTTTGAAAGATGATGCTGTTTGATAAAAAGATTGTCAAATTTATTTACTGAAAGAGCGTTTTATATTTCTTCCCAATAAACTGAAATCGTTTATGCATTCTTCATAAAACATTATTATAATATTGTACACCTTCAATGGGATTATCAACTGATTTGCGAGGCTCTGCAACAAAGAGAAAAACAACATTATTTTCACATAATCAAATATAAAGTTTACTGATTCACAGTTGATTATTTTGTTTTTCAAAAAATCGTAACTAAATCTTGACGAAATTTTTTTTCTTTATTATGTACGGCCGTGTCGTCATATTTTTTTGTTAACGAGCGCATCATTACGAAAATCGTTGCAATTCAACAATAGTGTGGCCAGCGCTTAACTCAATTAATAATTAATATTTTACTCTGAGATTTTTCTTTACTGTTATTGGTTAACTGCAATGCAGTTTTTCTGTAATTACACCGTGAAAATGTGCAAAACACATGTAGATGCACAGTAGATTGTAGCTTGTGTTTTGATTTGCTTGTAAGTGGTTGCAGTATGTAGGTCTAGTACTGTGAAAGTTCATAAGTAAGCCACCGACGGAATGATACAATTGGTCGCAAGGGTATTTGGGTATGTAAAGTTTAGATTGTCGTGGTACAGAACAACTAAGTCGATAGTAAGTACGTTCAGATATGATGTTAGACTTTTTCAAAGAGAAGATCTTGCTGTTAAGTTTGCGTAGTAGTGATGTTGTTGGGTTTCCTTAGTGTTTTTTGTACGTTTGTCTGTCTTTAACAAGTGTGTCCATTTTTTCGAAGTACTAAGTCTTGTCCATGACCCAAATCACGCGTCGTTTAGTCGTTTGAGTGCTTGTTGCTCGTCCTTTGTCAAGTTGTTAGCAACGGTCGATTACAAACAAAAATACTACAGCAAAAACATTCATATTTTGTTGTTAATTTCACATGCTTCACAAGATTAATTACCCTTCATCTTGAAAAATAAGCAATTCGAGGGACACACGAAGCAAAAAGTACTTAGAACGTTGACCAATGTGCTCAAAATTACAATTTCGCTGTACACATCCAACAACTATTGATTCATTTCATGGTGCCATTGTAAATCATATAAAAGCAAGTAATCGATGTGGCCGAAAGCATTAAGTGTGCACAATAAATAAGAAATTACGTTTTATTCGCGATGACGTCATCAAATGATCATCAAAATCAAAAATTTGCAAATTCTGAAAATTATAAGTGCCATTGGATAGACTAACTTCAGTTTGGTAAAAAATACATTCAACCGTTTTATTTCGGTCATTCCCTTCTATCGTGATACTGATAAGTCTTGTCTTATACCACAGACAGACATGCTAACTCACCAGGTTTTAGCGGCTGTCACCTAAATCCTAACACAAATCTCCTAAACACTAGATTGGCAATCATATTCACCCGTTTAAAACTTTTGCAGTAACTTGTATTTAGTAAATGTGTATTTTGAACGAATCAAATTTGAATGAGTGTTTAATTGAAAACTATATACACCATTACATTGACGAACAGAAGAACTTGGTAAAAATGAATTGTGTATGAACAGCAAACCAAGAAAACCCAAGTAGATTTCTTGTTCATACAAATTGTTTGAAAGATTTGAACGCATAACTGATAAAAGCTCAATATTTTTGCCACATAGTCAGTCCGACCTGATTCGTTCAAAATTATTTCACTAACTATATGTCATTAAAGAAAGGAAAAAGTGATGGAAAATCTGCTGTTCTGGAAATTTCTTTTTAGATTTAAGTGACAACCGATAAAGTTGTGAAAGATGGCAGGTCTGCTTGAGGTGTAAGTCATTCATCTGAAGAAATAGTACCTGTATAGAGCTTCTACGTATGAAACCAGTATAAAAGTTGAAGCCAGTTTTGATTTTACACACTCGATTCTTGGGACCACTCAATCACAATATGGTGTAGAGTTAGCTGAGCAATTGCGACGATGCTTTGCTCATACTACACCAATTGTTACTCCCAAAACTGCGGCTATTTATGTAAAAGTAATCTTGTACTAAGCATCGTTACAATCGCTCAGTCAACTCTACGCCATATTGTATTTGAGTGGTCCCAAGAATCGGGTGAGTAAAATTTAAACTGGTTTCAATTTTCATATGTAGAAGCTCTATCCAGGTACTAATTTTTCAGATCAATGGTTTGAGTAAACACTTTAAAATGATGTGTCAGCATCATGGTAACAAATACTTATTGATGTTTCATAAACGAGTGACTAAAAGTAAACTGTATAATATACTTCTCCACTCATCTCATGCTAATCTATCTAATGGTACTGAGAATTTTTTATATTTGCAATTTTTTTCTTTTGATAAATATTGCTGACATTATCATGGAAAAATGTAAATATCTGCTTATTGGGCAAACTATTGCTTGCGACAACATTGACAATATTTGCTATTGCATTATTTTCTACAACACTATCAAAGAAATTATTACTTGTGAAAGGTGTGCAGAGTAGGATTTTAGACATCAACATACAGTGACATTACGTTGGTTACCTTCAACAAATTCAACAACAATTTTTCACATTGTGTTGCGACCATAGTTAAATTTTGTGCGTATTTGGTGATAAAGAAGTGCAAAGTAGTTTGTTGGACATTATAGATACCATGTTTTGAAAAAACATTTAATCGATATTTTCAAGTGTTTCTCTTCTATAACCGGAAAGAGTATACATCACGCCATCGTTATCAAATGTCCTGCATTCAAATTGTGAATCATAAATGTTGCAAATTTTTGTGCGCCACGGTTGAAGTTGTCACAATTTATTGTTGAGATTTTAAAAGATTCTGAACATTGATAATTTGGGGAGAGGTTATTATTCATATATGCATGTTTTACTTTATTAGTTTCTATTGAAATCAATTATAACATATGAATATACGAAGATAGCCCACCCAATTATCTACTTTCTGTCATTAGTGGTTCTCCTTGGTTAAAGTGACTTTTTTAAAAGGTCAGGTTTTTCGTTACGAAATTCAAATGCCTTCCAAGGTGGTGAAATTTCCTCAAAATTTTCAACTTTCTTAAAATACAAAGGATGAAACTCATGCTGACTGTTTTTAATCAATGGCCAATTAAGAACATCCTAACTTTGAGAGCTGTGCTTGGAAATGAAGTCGATTAATACTAAATTGCTCGTCAGTACAACGTTAAGGTTTTCAACATACTAGTATTTTTAAATAAGGGATCTTTTTTGAAAATACCTTTACCAACTTTCGGCAATGAATTTAGTTTTTCGAAGTAAAACATCGATTCACATTCTCCTGCCTCGCTGTCATTAAAATGTCGAAGAATAGAATTTGCGATGCCAATCTTACATGCGGATATTTTTTCCTCAATTTTAAATAACACATCATTAAATGCCAAACCAGCGTGGTTATTTCCCACATTAAATTTGCCAGAAGCCGAATTCAGTCGCTCTTCCCTTTTTAACTCCCATTGTTCTTTTTAGTTAACTAGATGAAGCTCAAATGTTCAAGTCCTTTATTGAAATCATCGATAGTTACTGAAAAGTAGATCGGTTTTTTGAAAGTCATTTTAGTCTTGTCTTTGTGTATTTATATAAACCAACAATATCCAGTACATTAAAAATTTGAGCTGGTGCACCCGAAACTATGCTCAAGCTGTCGTTACTATGTCTAGCGCCATTGAGAGCCTCTTGAAGTAGCCCAATGTCGACTTTTTTTTTGATTATTCTAAAAACAGTTGTCTTGAATTACTAATGGGAAAATATACAGTTTCTTAGTCGACTTTATTTACATTTTTCAGTAAAAAAAAAAATTTCGCATGCAAAAGCATGTGGCAACAAAAACAAAACAATTTCAAACACGAGAACAAAAAATTTGCCTGCTAAAGAGTTAAAACATCCCCACAAGTGACGTAAATAATTCCATTGTATTGATTAAGACATACTGATCTAATTGCATTCTTTCTTTCACTTGAGAGCCTAGCCTATATTGCTGACGATTGTAAATTCTTTGTTGTTAGAAGACAGGTTGCATCAGGACTTGCACGCAAATGAGATTTTTCAAGTTTCCTGTTTTGCAGGAGTTGAATTTCATGGTCGATAATTTATGTATTTTCAAATGAAATAGTTTTCGTGCTATTTTGGTGAAGAAATCGAGCTTGTGGTTACTATTGCTACTCCTGCTATGACTTTGCAATTATGCGTGTGTTCATTGTGACTTGCGCTTCACATGTTCGATAGACGTGTTGCTTCTAAAAGCACAGTCCTATTAATCAAGAGGGGATACATTTTTGATCGAATAGAATGAAAACTCAGGCACAATAGTCAGAAAAAAGTCATGCTGGAGCTATTTTTTATAAAATATACCAAAAATAAAAAGTTTGAGGTCGATCGGAGTGAATAATGAATGGAGTCATTTATGTTAATTCTTCATTGCTTTAACATAATTTTTTTTAAACTACAGCATAAACCATTTAATGAGATATCTCAAATATTGCGTTTCATAATTTCAATTTTGTGAAGACAAATAACCTGTGCAGTTAAATGTCTATAGGAAATTTGAAGTGGATCAATATAATTTCATACCATAATGTTTACCATATGTTTAACATATGATGACATCCTTTCATTTTCCACCTCAACAAACGGTCGATCTTCATTATTCGCGATAACATTTCGGACATGTTGCGAGTTTGAATGCCATTTTAGAAGCTTGAATCCTCCCTCACTCATTAATTTTCGAGATCTATGATAGATGTATAGAGCTTCGTCCTCATTAGAAATTCCACCAGCAAAATCGTCAACATATAACGACTCGATTAATAAGGAGACTATTTCTGGATCGACATTCTTGTATTTCGAAACGTGGTGACGAATAACAGTAGATAATATTGCAGGACTTAGGGTTAAACGAAATGGTAGGTGTCGGAACTTGTATTCCTTTAGCATCGGGTGAACTTTGTTAATATCGTCAAACCAAAGAAACTTCAGCATCTTTCTGTCTTCGGAAGCAATTTGTATTTGATGAAAAGCCTTTTCGATATCGGCAACAAGCCCAATGGGGAAGCCTCGAAAGTTTATCATAGTGTCAAATAAACGTGGAACCAAATTTTGTCCCTTTTTGATGCAATGATTGAGTGACTGCTCTTCCTTAGTAGCTCTTGCCGAACCATCGAAAACCACGCGAAGTTTTGTAGTTTCCTTATCTTCTCGAAGTACGCCATGATGGGGTAGGAAATAACCGGTTTCATGGGCAACAAGAACTGGGTCAATAACTCCTCCTTTCATCTGATCTTTGATAATTGCATCGGATTCTTGCAATAAGGGTTTGTCTTTATCGAGACGAGATTTCAACTGGTGTAATCGTTTCAAACACATACCGTAACAGTCTGATTTTGGAATATATTCCCCCTTCCAAGGTAAATTCACTTCATATCTCCCTTCATCCTCCAGATATTGTACATTCTTCAGAAACTCCTAATCCTGTGATTCGCTGGATTCTTTGATTCCCATTCATTCGATCTCCCAAAACCGTTTCAAGCAATCATGTAATTTGGGTTCTCTCTTGTCAAGCGAAACTTCTTTTGAAAATGAGTGATCTTCGATGATTAAATTAACGATTGACAATTTCGAATTAGTTTCACCATCATTCGTCTGTCAAGTGATAATCCAGCAAAATTCACTATTATACGCAACAGGACCACCTTCACTTCTTATAATCTCGCCTTTCATGATATCAAAGTAATAATCTGCTCCAATTAGAATGTCGATGTTGCTGTCAATCTGTCGTCCAGAGAGAATATTGGTATCGGAAAGCTGCAACTCTATCAGAAGAGGATAATGATTGAGATCAATTGTCGTTGTTAATGGAGAGCAAATATTTGGAAAGCAAAGAGCTGTTATGATTCGATTTCCATTCTTTCCTTTCCGGGACAAATGAACCAAGACGCATTTTTGCTTTGTAAAATATTGGTTGCCAAAGGTATTTAAGTTAACAACTTCTCTTCTGATGGGAACTAGTCCAAGCCGGTTTTTTCATGAATTCGTAACGTAAGTGCGCTGACTACCGCTGTCCAAAAGCACGCGAACAGGTATGGAAATGAAACCATTCCCACCATTGCCATATGTAATAGCTGTTTGCAAAACAACTTGATTACGCGTTTTTGCCGTATTCGTCGTTAAGTAATTATCTCCATCAATCATAGTAGCTGTGCGAACGTTGTTCTCTTCCTTGGTTTCGGGTAGGTTGTTTCCAGTGGGGGAAAATTTAAGATTATATGTATTCTTTTGTTGAGGAGGCGTAAGACTTGACCTAATCACTTCACAAATCGATTGATGATGAGCCCCATGACAACGTCTACAACTCTTCTTTGACTCGCAATTTTTACTGAGATGCCCGATTCGCAGGCATACAAAACAACGATTGTCTCTCCTCAATATACTCTTGCGATCATTCACATCAGTTACTCTATCACACGATGCCGAAAAGTGTGGCTCTTTACAATAAACACATTGAATATGTTTACCTGAAGTATTTTGAGTCGAAAAGGCGTTCGCCGTAGGTATTGTGGGTGTTTGGTACTTACCTCCTGAATTTTTTCCATTTTGTGGCTGAGGACTTGATTGCACTTGTTTACTTATCTTCCGTGCCTCGATCTCAGTTTTTATTGTATCCAACAACTCATCAATTTTCCAAACGTCTCCCGACGATTTTCGACCATTTTGTAGACGTATGTCACTAGGTAATTTAGTCATGATAATAGGGATAAGCATACTGCCAAATTGTTCAGAAGAAACGCCAAGACTCGATAATCCTCGTACATGAACGCTTACTTTATCGTATATGTATCTTACTTGGCTAGTTCTACTGTTGGTACAAGATTGAATCTTAAAATTTCATCCATTGCTATGGTTTGCTGGGTTTTTCCGAAGCGATCGTTCAAGATTTATACAGCAGAGTCGTAATTGGCATTAGTTAATGTTAGACCTTTAATGGCCCTAGCTAAGTTTCCCTCAAGAACCAATTTCAGATAGTTGAATTTCTTTACATTCGAAATGTTTGGATTACTGTGAGTCGCAGAATCATACAGATCTCAAAACGAACTCCACTCCGTAACCTTGCCACCATATTTCGGAAGCTCCAGCTTAGGAAGCTTCGGCATATTTGACTTAAATTGAACAGTCGTCGTACTGTTGTCGCTCGTTACTTTTCCTTCGTTTACAATTTCGATCGTCGCTTGATTATTTGAACCTTCGATTAAACCATAGTTTTCGTCGCACTTGCCAAATTTTCGTTAGAATTTCGTTAGATACTTTCGTTTTGGCCAGGGTTTGACATGTTCGTCAAATTCGAGTTCGATATGGTATCGTTGACATTTGTATCAACGTCTCTGTCATTCTTAGCGCATTTAATATACCTTTCAATTTTTCGTTCTATACTCATAACTCTATCAGAAATTTTGGCCGAGTCCTCGATTTCACCTTGTATGTCATTAACATCACACGTGTTCAGTATTTCTTCATCGAGTTCACTAAGTATTTTTAGTTTCCCTTCGAGTTGTAGTGCGATGATTTCGCTACGATCCATAAGATCATCATGTGGTGGCTGTGATAACAATTCAACTGACTCTTTCTCGAGTTTTGTACACACTCCGCGATGTCCTCTTCTTCTAGCACGAAGCTTTTCCATTTTCTCCTTCTCTTCAGTCGAAATTTTCGTTAGAAACGAATATGGGTGACTTTCTTCCGTTAAAGCCGCCACACGTTGAGCGCCATATGATACACGTTGCACGATAAAATAGTTATTTTTATTCTCGAGGACATAATTTTGGAATTGTCGTTAGTTTAAATGATTTATTTTTGAACTTTCATTGTACAATGAAGTCGTCTCAAAGAAAACTACTTCACAATTCAACAACATCTCGAATCTATAATGTTAACAACAACTCTCCCTTCTGTAATAATCCCAAAGTGTCAATCACATGAAATGCACGCGATCCGCAACAACAATAACAAAGAAAAACAACTGTTCATCACATCATTCGACCTGACAGCGGCATGCATCCGAACGAGAAGATTGGTAAAAGTTTTGAGAAAGTATTCCTTTGGATCATCAATATTTTTCAATAATTCAAGATGCAGTCTTGGTTTATCGTACCAATGTTGGCCAACATTGGGAATAAGTCTTAAGCATTCCGTCCAGGAAGATCTGTAGTGGACCTTATTAATTTTCCCCTTTTTCTCATATGTGCAAAGATAATCATTGACATCACTATCTATTTGACATTTCCAATCAGAGGGTTCACTATTCAATTGTTAAAGTACACTTGAAAGGGCATCATTTGTCTTAATTGGATGCTGGTTTCCAACTTTACACAATATTTCCAACTTCTCATCATCTGAAAATAAATATGGGTGTCTCAACGCTTCGTTGGCTGATGGTCTGTCTTCAGGTTGTCGCTTAAACATCCACGAAAGAAGATCTTCGAGCGTGGCATCCTTGATTTCGTCCAAGCCAACAGGGTTCCCTTCCAAAAGGTTGTCTAATAAAAACCGTTCAGGTCCAAAACGATGTTTCCCATTTGTCGCGACATAATAAGCCACCATTCCTGCGTTTCATTTTTAATAAAAAAGGTATCATAACAGTCACAACGTGAGTGGTTGATAGGGAAACGATAAAAAAGCGAGTTATTTGTTAAATACAAAATTCAATACTATTTAAAATTTCACAAAAAATAACTACCATAAGATCCGACTGCTTCTTATGGCGGGATTAGTTAATTGATGCATTCACTTCATCATATGATTCTGGAGCTATCTAATTTTTAGCTCCTCTCTGTGGGCTCTCATACGTCAAAGTTTTATTTAATAATCTTCGACTTATAGCGAAGTCAGCGATTAAAAAATTTCCTTGTTCATCTCGAAGAACGTTTGAGAGTCTTAAATCCCTATGAATAATAGGCTTGAGCCACTGTGAAGATCTGCTAAACATTTTAAGATGTGCTTTATGACTTTGGAAAGCGCTATTTGAAGTGCATCTAAAGTAGAAGGTTTCACAAAACTCCCCAACCATTCTTCACATAAGTCTATTACCAAATATAAATATTCAGCGTTTGATTCTATTTCGGAATACTAATAATTCACAATATTTTTCGAATGCTTTGCATTTAATTCATTCAAAATATATTTTTCTTCCTTAGCTTCCTCTGTGTAACTATCTCGATTAATTCGTTTTACTGCTTTTCCATAAGCATCTTTTCTCAATACAAGATAAACACGGGCTCATTACTTCATTTGCCAAGTGGATGCTCTTTCTAGAAAAGAACAAGTACATCATTAACATATTTAACTCTTGTTGAATGTTATTTACGATATTCCTCCATCGTTTTAAACTTTTTCCGATACATTTTTGATATGTCAACGCACGTCCAAGTTTCAGACAGTATGCCTTTAATTAAAAGAAAAAGTGTGGCATTAATGGAACTGCAATTTCTTCATTTTATTCTGTTACTGCTACTAGTAACTCTAATGTTCACATTTTGCTTATAAAACATTTAAATAATGATCGAACTATTACGGGAAGGTGTTGATGGTAGTAGATACAATAAAACAAAAGATTGAAGCTATTTACAATTGATGCATGACCGTTGTACTCATTTGCAGTAAATTATATGTTTATAAATCTAGAACTAAATACTAACGAAAAATCTCTTTTGAATTGTGCAAACGTATGAAGCAGGAGAAAAATCCTTTTATCTTTGCCAACGTAAAGCAATAACGTCCGTGTATATGATTGTGAGTTACAGTAAAATAATTTATGCTGTAGCTAAATGGGCGAAACTCATTACTTATTCAATCAAGAAAACAAAAGATTTTGTTTTTTATACTGAAATCAATTTTTTAAGAACAATAAAATTGCCGTGCCAAAATTGTATTCCCATAAAATAGTTAACGTTAACGGAGACATGTGTTAGAAATCCTTAGATAAGAGTAACTGGGTAATCGGCATTATTATTTGTGAAAGAGGATGCTGTTTGATAAAAAGATTGTCAAATTTACTTGCTGAAGGAGCATTTTATATTTCTTCTCATTAAACTGAAATCGTTTCTGCATTCTTCATAAGACATTACTATATTATTGTACACCTTTAATGGGATAATCAAAGGATTTGCGAGGCTCTGCAAAAAAGAGAAAAAACAACATTATTATCACATAATCCCATAGGAAGTTTACTGATTCACAGTTGATTATCTTGTTTTTCAAAAATCGTAACTAAATCTTGAAGAAAATTTTTTTCTTTATTATGTACGAGTAAAAAGGCAATAGTACAAAATCTAACTTGCTTTGCCAATGCAATGCTATTACGTCCGTGTACAAGA